AATTAGAGGACACCCAGCTGGTGTCTGCTGCAAAACTGCTTATTTGCTTAGTGCGTGGGGAACTCCCCTCCACACACATCTGGAGTCAGAAGGGTGTCGTGAGAGTAAAGTGGGAGAAACTGAATATGTTTATTCCTATATTCAGAATGGGGTCCTTGAGAACATCATAGTGGTAAACAGACATTCTAAAGCCAGACTGCCTGGGTTCATCTCTCTGCTCCACCACTTCGAGTGTTACTTTAGCTCACTGTGCTTCAGTTTCCTATTAAGTTGGGATAATAATACCATCTCACAGAGTAACTTAAGAATTAAATCAGTTAATACACATAAAGCACTTGGAAGTGTTTGGAGCATTAATAAACCCTCAATAGCTGACAAAAAATAGAAAAGGGTGAGGAACAACTTAATACATATTCAAATATATATTATAGATCTTTTCCATATTTGTTGTAGGGAAAATAGAAGAAAGTGTATTTAAGCTATGGAGATCTGGATTTTATGAAATAAAAAAAAAAAAGAGTAGATAAAAAATTTGCCCATTAAGAGACGTAATTAACTACTGAGGGTGAATATATCTATAGAGGGCTGTATAGCATGCAGTAGATTCTGTAATTGTGTTTAGCCTGAGAATGGTATTCTCTAAAAGTGGGAAAACAATCCCTAGAAAATCGAGTTTGAATCTAGTACATGGCCACCTACCACCTCACTTGCCCAAGAAACATACTGAAAACTAAAGCTTGGTATTCTATTGAGGGACTTACAACAAATTAACAAGAGCTGATGTATGCTAAAATAGTACCCGAAGTTTTGACAACTATCTTCCTTGTTTAGCCTAGAGAAACAAAAGCAATGGGAAGAAATCACATTTGTAGTAGACCCATGACCAGGACTCAGATTTTAAAACTTAAAATGTTTCCATTACCTTGAATTTCTCTTTGTTGGGTTTTTTAAAAAGCTAAAATGAAATGAATTAATCACATAGCATGGCATTACATATACAAGGTCTTTATATAGTTGAAGAAGTGTTCAGTGGTCCTTTAACATATCTGCCCACTTCTTGTTCTGACCTCAGGACACTGCCCTACCGCAACCCAAACTCCTGGTCCCTGTTAAAAGGGTGACCTAGGAAGCTATGCTTTATCATATATGCTTCTCAGGAATCCTTCATACACTGAATTGAGCCATTAAAGTCATATTTTTGGCATTTAAGTCACAAAGGGGAAGTTGCTAATTGGGTAGCAGCAATAGAGGGAATGGCTGCTGGTCTCCATATGAAAACAGTCTTCGCAGTTCCCATATTTTCTTTTCTTGGAGTCTGAGATGTGTATTCTTGCAATCTTCACCCCAGCCCTCTTTTGCTCATTTCCTGGTGGGACAGGGTTTTTATCCTTTTTTTTTTTGAGACGGAGTCTCGCTGTGGCCCAGGCTGGAGTGCAGTGGCGCGATCTCGTTTCACTGCAAGCGCTGCCTCCTGAATTCACGCCATTCTCCTGCCTCAGCCTCCTGAGTAGCTGGGACTACAGGCGCCCGCCACCACGCCTGGCTAAGTTTTTGTATTTTTAGTACAGACGGGGTTTCACCCTGTTAGCCAGGATGGTCCCGGTCTCCTGACCTCATGATCTGCCTGCCTCGGCCTCCCAAAGTGCTGGGATTACAGGGATGAGCCACCGCGCCCGGCCAGGGTTTTTATTCTTTAAAATTTCTGACCAAATATGTGTGGCTCTACTTCAGACTAAAAGTCAACATATTGACATGCAGAGATAGGAATTTAGTCTATCACTTTGTGCTTAGTATCTGGGGAGAAGATACATGAGCTAAACAAAACGCAGAGAAATTTTCAGCACTTTTACATTCAATCAAATCTGGTCAGTTCTACTTCTCAAATATTTTTCTTTTCCATCTTCTTCGTACATCCATAGCCATCTTTTATCTGAATTATTATTATTATTATTATTTTTTTGAGACAGAGTCTCACTCTGTCGCCCAGGCTGGAGTGCAGTGGTGCGATCTCGGCTCACTGCAAGCTCCGCCTCCCGGGTTCACGCCATTCTCCTGCCTCGGCCTCCCGAGTAGCTGGGACCACAGGCGCCCACCACCGCGGCCGGCTAATGTTTTGCATTTTTAGTAGAGACGGGGTTTCACCGTGGTCTCGATCTCCTGACCTTGTGATCCACCCGCCTCGGCCTCCCTAAGTGCTGGGATTACAGGCGTGAGCCACCACGCCCAGCCCTTATCTGAATTATAATACCCTCTTAGGCAACAGAAAAAGGTGGAGGAATACTTGCTAGCTATTTTAAGAAAATGCAAATGCCAAGTATCACTGCGGGAAGACCTCATGGCTTCCCAGTCTTTTCCCTTAATATTCACCTTTCCCTTAAGGACCTGTAATGATCACTGTCTCCACCAGAGAAGTGCCAGTTTCCCTTCCACGGCGTAGATCGGTCCTCTTTGTTTTTCCTCATTCGTAGCATTGCTAAATTCAGGTAAGTTATATAAAGCTTTTAGATAGGGCTTAGGAGTAGTGGGGGACGGGGGTGGGGGAAGCAAATAAAACACTAAGATGCAACTTACTTAGCTATAATTAGGTACGGCTTGCTCTTTTTATTCAATAAATATTTGAGCACTCTGTGATTACCACGGTGCATATATTGACGACGCGTCACTGCTCACAAGATGCATGTGGTAGCAGGGGTATGCTAATGCTGCCACAGGGTAATAAAGGATAAATCAGAGTGTGGAGCATCTCAGTCACTTTCAAATGCGCAGGAAAGGCTGTGTTCTCTCCTTTTATCTGGAAGATTCACCAGTCATTTGAGCCCTTTGAAGTGACTCGTTCAACCCCCAAAATGGTTTGGCTGGACACGACCCAGTTTTGGATAAGAGGACAGAAGCTGGCTTCAGCTAGCAGCTTGCAGAGGTTTTCTTTCACCGGGGGTATATCATTGGTTATCTTGTAATGCTTGGGATGAGTTTTTCCAGCCTCTAAAGTCACCCAACCCAGGAACTCCTCACGCTGCTGGGTTTTGTAACAATAAAGGTCTTATTGTTTAAATCACCAAAAAAAGAAAAAACAAAAAAAAGCCCCCCAAAACAGGAGGCACCTAAAATAGTATTTGGGGGAAGGGAGTTATGAAAGATTTCACTGAAGTGCTGCCCTAAGAAAACGAAGACTTTAAGGACAAATAAGAATGAGCAGAACATGAGATTGGAGAAAGCAAGAGGGCAGGAAATGAAGTATTCCAAAAGAGTCTAAGAATGTGCAAAAGACAAGCGAATGATGTGTTTAGGAAATTGCAAGTAGTTCATCATGCCCGGAGTGTAGAGTACAAGGGGGTTCTCCTGTTTATGCTCAGGTGACAGGAACTAGTTTCTCTACAACCCACAGGGGTCCTTCAACACACAAGGAATTCTCTGAATCCAGGCCAGAAACAGGGCATTCAAGGGAGGAATTTCCTCCCCTTCCAGTCAATGGCAGCCTTCTCAGCTTGGTTTTCCAGGCTGAGGAACCCCATCTTTGGTGGTTAATGCCAACAAAATCCTCTTCCTTAGGGAAAAACCCTATCCTCTTATACCACAAAATTTTACTCCATGATCTTGATAAGGACAAAATAGCAGAATAGTGCATTATCTTTATGTATTTAATAGAACTGCTTGTTTACACTGCCAAAAGAAAGGCTACTTTTCATAAACCCGAAATCTTAAGGAAACTGGATATTATACTTTTAGCTTAGGTATTAACTAATGGTACAAAGTGTGTAAACCCCTATCACTTCTAAATGGCAGTTCTCTTCACTGAATGAAAATCAGTTTACTTCCAATTTTTTTTTCAGGATTAGAGGTTTAGAAAACATCTTTAAATATTAAAGTCATTAAAAGAAGTGAAGCAAATTAAGTTTCAAAAGTTTAAGAATGTACCATACTGTGGTTTTCCTGGGCCACTGTTGTCGGCCAGTTACAATGTGCTCCATTTCTCTAGAACTAGCTCCTATTTTGAAGCTGATGTCTTAAATTTTCCTTTCTAGGCCAGGCTCCGCAGCTCATGCCTGTCATCCCAGCACTTTGGGAGGCCAAGGCAGGTGGATCACCTGAGGTCAGGAGTTCAAGACCAGCCTGGCCAACATGGTGAAACCCCGTCTTTACTAAAAATACAAAAAATAACCAGGCAAGGTGGCGCAAACCTGTAATCCCAGCTACTCAGGAGGCTGAAGCAGGAGAATCGCTTGAACGTGGGAGGTGGAGGTTGCAGTGAGCCGAGATTGTGCCACTGCACTCCAGCCTGGGCAAGAGTGAGACTGTCTTAAAAATAATAGTAAGTAAATAAAATAAAAAATAAAATTTCCCTTCTAAAAGGATCACAATAACCATGAATAGCAAATAGAATGTTTTAGGCAGCAATTATCTAAAATGTGGATGCTCTTGAGCATGCATTCTCAATAGGGGTGAAAATTGGTTCATTGGGGACAAAAAAATTATATTTTGTATAAAGCAAAAAACATTTACAGTCCATAAACAGATACATAGTACATATGTGGTGTTGAAATTTCATGGGGAAGGGGTGACTAGAAAAAAATCTAAAAAAGCTCTTCAGGGAGGTGATGAAGAAAAGGTTAAGAAGCCAGGGGTTGTGACTCACACCTGTAATCCTAGCTACTTAGGAGGCTTAGGCAGGAGGACTGCTTGAGGCCAAGAGTTCAAAAACAGCCTGGGCAATATAGCGAGATCCCATGTCTACTTAAAAAAAAAAAAAAGAAAGAAAGAAAGAAAAGCTGCTGTGGAGATTCTTTTGCCAAGTCAGGAATACCTAAATTAACTATATTTTTACAAACCCTAAGTGCCGAGATAAAATGGAAAGTTATGGCTATCCCACTTCTAACCAATGTACTTGCAAATGGCTCCAATTCTTTGGTTTTTGTTTCTCCTAGCCAAGGTTGCTAAAATTGTTCAAGGAAAAGACTTGGATTTTTTTTTTAAAATATGATAAATCATTAAATATATAACACAGAGTACAAACCAAGAAAGTAAATTTATTTAAATTACTAAAATAGCTTTTAAAGTCATTTACAGATCAGCTGCTATAATTATTTTTCCTGAAAGACACAGGTAACATATTACTTTTAAATTACTTGGGTCAGTGAAACATTTAATAAAAACAGTTATTTCTCTATATAATATGTATGTATAAAATAAGCCTTTTCAAAAACTCTGGTTTTCATAATCCTCTATAAATCAGATGATCTGACTTCTAAGAGGAACAAATTATAGTAAGGGGCATACATTTATGAATACTGGTAGTACTAGAGGAAAGAAGTTAGACCACTCTACTACCACTTGTGGAACTCTCAAAGGGTAAATGACAAAGCCAATGACTGACTCTCTCTAAAAACAATGTTTACATTTAATGGTTTGTGGACAATAAAAAAACAAGGTGGATAGATATAGAATTGTAACATTTTAAGAAAACCATAGCAGTTGACAGATGAGGAAGCTCAATTATAGATGCAAAGTTATAACTATACTACTATAGTAGTAAAGAAATACATTTCACGCTCTTCATATAAGTTCACTATCTTGGCTTGAGGCACTCCATAAAATGTATCACGTGCATAGTAAATCTTTATATTTGCTATGGCGTTGCACTAAAGGACCTGGACTGCAACAACTGGATGCGCAGAAAACGAAATCTTCTTCAATAGCCCAGGACAGCAGGTTAACAAATGGTTTGTCAATTCCTGAAACTATTTCTTAATTCAAAACAAAAGCTTCAGGATGTGTCCAAAATAAACTGTTACGAATTGACCTAGTCTTTTTTTTTTTTCTTTTTGAGACAGAGTTTCGTTTTTGTTGCCCAGGCTGGAGGGCAATAAGCCTGGTCTCCGCTTACTGCAACCTTTGCCTCCCGGGTTCAAGCGAATTCTCCTGCCTCAGCCTCCCAAGTAGCTGGGATTACAGGCATGTGCCACCATGCCCGGCTAATTCTTGTATTTTTAGTAGAGACAGGGTTTCACCATGTTGACCAGACTGGTCTCGAACTCCTGACCTCAGGTGATCCACCTGCCTCGGCCTGACCTACTCTTAAGAGTCAAGTGAACAAATATATTAAATCTTGCAATACACATGAAGAATCCTTGAGAGGGCCAAGAATTTTTCTTCAAGGAAGGAAAAAGGAGATATAAAAAACAAATCCCAATGGAATCCACTAAGATTAACAGTTCATATACCTATGTTTGACCTACACCTCAGTGGATTACTATAACATTTCCTCCCTTCAGCTTCCCCATTAATTTCTTCCTTGCCTTGTTCTTTCTATCTTCCAACAAACAAAAGAAAAAAAATTCCAAACACACACCTACGTGACCTTTCATTACTTATGTTCCTATAGGCAGAAGCTAAGGAACTCACACCTACATGGTATAAAAGGGAACATAATGGGAAAATCCATGGTTACATTTAGGGAGCAATCTTACTAATAACTCAAGAAACTTAGTGAGAAATCTAAGTTAAAAAATCAGGAAGGTTCATAAGGAGACAAATCCCTTTCACTGGTCATACATAACTGTAATAATTCAGCCCAGAATCAAAATAGATTCTCTAAGGAACTGCATATAATCTGCACTCCTAAGATACCTTTAACACAGCTCTCAATGGAAACTGAAATGATTCTCTCATATCCTAGATAATTAGGTTGAACAAATGATTTTTATGTTCCATGTTTATGTAAGAACTTAATTTCCTTTAAAAAGAAACCAGTTCTTTCAAAAAGAGCTCTGAATTCTGTCTCTGGTTAGAAAATGTGAACAATTCTCAGAACTTGGGACATGATTTTTCTTCTCTCACTTCTTATAAGCAGATGCCCCTTTTCAAGGCATTTTCAGGTTGCACAGGCAGAACTAAGTGAGAAATGCGGCTCCAGAGGCCATTCAGTTTGTCTGGGTCCATATGATTGTAGGAGTTGGGTGTGTTAGAATTGGTGAACTTGACTTTAAGGAAATCTCTTACTTTTTCTTCAACTTCCTTTAGGCCTAGACTGGTTCCAAGTGTCTCTTCCTCCAATAAGACAGTCAGGACTAGGGCTACATCTTTGAAGGCTGCGTTTTCATGGTCACAATATTTGTAGAAGATCAAAGTAGAGCCTGCGGGCAATGACTCAAAGCGGTGTACCACAGCTGCATTCTGGCCATTCTTAAATCCATTGCTCAGTTCTTGGTCTACCTCTAGTTTGACAGTATCACTGTCTTGAGTAGCTTTATCTGTCCCATCAATCCGGATGGCACGAACACTACGAAAAGAAGAATAGGCATCAGCAATTTGTTCACTCAGACACCTAAGCGCTTCTTCAGCATCTCGGGCAGCAGTGAGCAGCAAGATAGCAGGCTGAGACCGAGGATGGGAGCTATTAAGATGTTTTTCCAGGAATATTTGGCTCCTTTTCCACAGCTTCTCATCTTGACCTTGATACTTATTCTTAAGTTGATTCATCTGGTTCTGGAACTCTTGAACAGCAGTGGTTTCTACCTCAGGAGTACTAAAGAACCAAAAACTCCCAGAGGCAAGAGCAGCTATCAGAGGAAGTAGCCACCAGCAGTTCCTCTTGCCAAAAGATGCATTTTGGGGTTGTCCAGTCACTTCTACTCAGAAAAAAAGAAATGACAGATATAAATACCATTTTCTTAGATTCAAGGCAAGTGACTTTTAAAATCAGTATCAATCTTTGTAAACATTAGGTAAAAGAGAAAGAACTTTAAAGAAGAAAGCTGATAATTTTCTTAAAAAAATAATTTATCGCATTCTCAAGAAAATCTTACATGCATACACTTGGAATTATGTGTATAAATATGCATATGTCTCTTCAATATAAAAATATCTTTGAGGAAAAAAGTTTTTAAACAAATGGCATAAACAAGTCAGAAAAATAATACAGTTTATAAAGTGAAGTTTATTATTTCCACTGCTAACAGCTGGGAGAATAGACTATTAAAAGACAATTTATAAAATATTTTTTAATTTAGAAACTCAGCATTCACATGGCTAATTATTCAAGGTGAAATATTTCTGAAGTATATAAAAGGATAAAGAAAAGGATGCACGGCTGGACACAGTGGGCTCATGCCTGTAATCCCAGCACTTGGGAGGCTGAGGCATGAGGATCACAAGGTCAGGAGATCAAGACTGTGAAACCTCGGCTCTACTAAAAAACAAAAAACTAGCTGGGTGTGGGTGGCACAAGCCTGTAGTCCCAGCTACTTGGGAGGCTGAGGCAGGAGAATCACTTGAACATGGGAGGAGGGGCTTGCAGTGATCAAGATCCACGCCACTGCACCCAGCCTGGGTGACAGAGGCGAGATTCCATCTCAAAAAAAAAAAAAAAAAAGAAAAGAAAAGTAGGCAATATGAATGAACATCTTCTACATGTTATAATAGCTAGCTGTCCCTTTAATTTTACTGATGTATGGCCTTTTGTGGTATGCAAGTTAACACTGGTAAAACTTAGTTTGTAACTCGTTAATTACTATTGGCAATAATAATAGTATTAATTTATATTTAGTGCTTTTCAGTTTATAAAGTTCTTTCTCATATTCTACTTCATTTATTCAGTTAATATGATAGTACCAATAATACTTTTAGACCTTCTATTTATTGACTGTTTCAAGCTATTAATTTTAGTAGGGACCTTTTAGAGCAGCAGTTCTCAAGGTGTGATCTATGGGGTACCTCAAGACCCTATTTTGCAGGGGAGATGTCCATGAAGTTAAAACTATTCTTCTAACACTAAGATGTTATTTGACTTTCACCTTGTGTTAACATTTGCACTGATAATGCAAAAGCAATGGTGGGAAAAACTTTTGATGCTTTAGCATGAGTTACAGGGCAGTGGCACCAAACTGTACAAGTGTAGTCATTGTTATTTTTCACTGCCATGCATTCAAGGTTTAACAAAGCGACATTCCTTTACTTAAGAATGTCCTTTATGAAGCAGTTAATTATTTATCTTATTAAATCTCAATCTTTGAGTACATATCTTGTCAACATTCTTTCTGAAGAAATGGCAAGTAGGCACAAAGCACTTCTGCTGCATCATACAGTACCATGGTTGTCTCAAGGAAAATAATTTTGTGCAAATGAATTACAAGGTGAACTAGCACATTTTTCAGGAATACTATTTTTTACTTGAAAGAACAAGTAAACTATGGTCAGACTTGTGTATTTTGCAGACATTTGCTTTCAAGTGAAAATTAGGATTTTAGAATCCTAAATCTGCCACCATGAGTTTGACAACTCCCAATATTGTACTTTAACGCTTTCTTTTTTTTCTGAGATGGAGTCTCACTCTGTGGCCCAGGATAGCGTGAAGTGGTGCCGTCTTGGCTCACTGCAACCTCTGCCTCCCGGGTTCAAGTGATTCTTCTGCCTCAGTCTCCTGAGTAGCTGGGATTACAGGTGCATGCCACCATACCCAGCTAATGTTTTTGTATTTTTAGTAGAGACAGGGTTTTGCCACGTTGGCCAGGCTGGTCCTGAACTCCTGACCTCAGGTGATCTGCCCACGTAGGCCTCCCAAAATGCTGGGATTACAGGCGTGAGCCATGGCACCCCACCCTTTAACACTTTTTAAAAGTCTTGAGATTGGCAGTGATATTAACAAATGTGATATTTTATATTACATTCCTAATGTGTCAATGTTTGGGAAAATCTGCATTTCTCAGTGAACCAACGTTTTCCAAATGACCAGTGCACGATACTCCATTCAAAGTATAAGAAAGACCAATGAATTTTACTGTAATAGAGTACTAAAAGCTCAGTAAGATGGTTTCAGATATCCTATTTCAAGTAACATTTAAGAAACTAACACTTGTTGAGTTTTGGAGAGTTCAAAAAAGAATAGCCACAATTATCTGAAAAGGCTATTAAAATTTTTCCTATCTGAGCCGGGCGCGGTGGCTCACGCCTGTAATCCCAGCACTTTGGGAGGCCGAGGCGGGTGGATCACAAGGTCAGGAGATCGAGACCACAGTGAAACCCCATCTCTACTAAAAATACAAAAAATTAGCCGGGCGCGGTGGCGGGCACCTGTAGTCCCAGCTACTCAAGAGGCTGAGGCAGGAGAATGGCGTGAACCCGGGAGGCGGAGCTTGCAGTGAGCCAAGATTGCGCCACTGCACTCCAGCCTGGGCGACAGAGCGAGACTCCATCTCAAAAAAAAAAAAAAAAAAATAATAATAATAAAATTTTTCCTATCTCTGTATAAAGCTGGATTTTTTGTAGATACTTCAACCAAAATATATTGTAACAGACTGAATACAGAAGCATATATAATCCAAATCCATTTTTTAAAGCTAGACATTAAAGAGATCAGAAAAAATGCAAAGCAATCTGATCTGTCACTCATCTTGCTAAATTATTTAAAATCAATTAATAAATATTTTTAAAAATTTTCAACTTTAATTTCCTGGTACATATGGATAGATATAACCCATATTTTCAACAAAAAGCTCTTTGAAGTTCTTAATAACTTTACTAGTGTAAAGCGGTACCAAGAACAAAAAATGTGAGAATCATCATTAATCTATTTTCTTTTTTTTTGAGACAGAGTCTTGTTCTGTTGCCCAGCCTGGAGTGCAGTGGTGCAATCTCGGCTCACTGCAAGCTCTGCCTCCCGGGTTCACGCCATTCTCCTGCTTCAGCCTCCTGAGCAGCTGGGACTACAGGCGCCCACCACCACCCTCAGCTTATTTTCTTTGCGGTTTTTAAGTAGAGACGGGGTTTCACCATGTTAGCCAGGATGGTCTCAATCTCCTGACCTTGTGATCCGCCCACCTCGGCCTCCCAAAATGGGGGGATTACAGGCTTGAGCCACCGCTTGAGATGGAGTCTCGCTTTGTCTCCAGGCTGGAGCGCAGTGGTGCGATCTCGGCTCACTGCAACCTCCGCTTCTCGGGTTCAAGCGATTCTCCTGCCTCAGCCTCCTGAGTAGCTGGGACTACAGGCGTGTGCCACTATGCCCAGCTAATTTTTGTACTTTTAGTAGAGACAGGGTTTCACCATGTTGGCCAGGATGGTCTCGATCTCTTGATTTCATGATCCGCCTGCCTCGGCCTCCCAAAGTGCTGGGATTACAGGCATAAGCCACCATGTTCAGCCCATGAATTTATTTTCTTAGTACTGTTTCAGGAAAATAAGACTTGGAGAACTAAAGAAACTTGCAACAAGGCTGTAAAGGAGGTAAGTGGTCCAATCTAGTTCAAATGCAAGTGTGCAGACTCCGAAAGCCATTGTAATCCTAAAAGTCATGCTCTGGCTGTCTTTCTTTCAATTCAGCATGGTTTCCTCAGTTAACAGTATTAGTAGCTTCACTTATTATTAGCTAGTACTTTTGGTCTTATGGACAGTAAAGTGAAGGGGCAATACCAGATGTTGTCTCATATATAGTTTGTCCATAAATAATTTCACTGCTAGTAGAATATATACTTTTTCCTCTAAAGTGCTTAAAATATGATTCTTCAAATAGCATCAAGTCATACTGCTGTCAAAAACCATTTTTAAATAATTATGGAATAATTATGGAATACCAATTTTACAGAAATATTTAATTAAAACTGAATACACAAACTTACGTCGGCTGGAGGTTGATGGTGACTGGTTTCCAAGCTCTGATTTCTGAATGTTGTCATCTAATGGTGAGAGTAACAAAATAAGACTATCAACTTATGTTTCATAATTTGAGTATTTATTTCTAGTAGACAAAGAAGATACAAATTCCACCAGGAAAAAAAGAAGACAGAGATCAGCCAGAAGCAGAAGAAAAAGTAGAACGTCTGAGTGCTGATTAGACTGAGGGCTCCTGGAGACACAAGACCTATTTCTTTCATAGCTGTTCACAGCGTATGGTGGGGTCTAGTAGAAAGCACACAATAATTAGTTTTCAGAGGAAGTTTGGAAGTATTTGACCCATAAGTATCTAATGGGATTGGTGAAACTTCCGGGATAAAAAGGACAAAGAAAATAAGCACACCATAATAAAATGAAACATACCACTTGAAAAACTGCCATATATTGAACTCTTGCCTGGTGAAGATGCTGTAAAGAGGGGAAAAATAAGGACAAAATGTGGATTATAGACTACTGAGCTGTCTCGATAAGGTGTTTTAATATAAAACTCAATCTTAATCTTCACTATTTTCTACCTCAAAGCAATTCAATATTTCACCTGGGGATTTTGACCATTTCAAATACTAGTAGTATTTTAAAATCACGTTTAAAAACTTCTCATCATTTCTGTTAATAGACAAGTAATTAAGTAATTCTGTTTTAGGCTTGTGGTTAAACAATAGAGCTCAAAAATAATTTTCTCACAACTCTGTCAAATCTCTACATCCATCTAAATTTATTTAGAAAATAAATTAAGCCGGGCACAGTGGCTCATGCCTGTAATTCCAACAACTCAAGAGGCTGAGGTGAAAGGACAGCTTGAGCACAGGAGTTTAAGACCAGCCTGGGTAACACTGTGAGACCCCATCTCTGATAAATAAATAAATAAATAAATAAATAAAAACAAGAAAATAAATTGAAAACAATCCTAACCCTTCCCTTTCCCTTCCATCTTTTTTTAGCATACCAGCAGGTTTTAAAATCTAAGAGAGGAAATGGAGGGACAGGCTTCAGAAAGTATAGAGTCTGAGTTATCTCATTCATATGACCTATATTACCAGTATTGCCATCTATCACTTGACTGGACTTTTATAATTTTTGTATACATAAACGAACTTCCTGGTGGATCTTCTTAGGGTTTTATCAATAACTTTCATTTGAGAAACACTGGAATAACTGGAGGAATAATATTAGCTCTGCTAACATTCAGAAATAGCCTTATTTTTGGTCATATGACAAAAAGCTCCATAATGATGTCATAAGACAAAATGACAGCAAATCTAAGAGGAATATTGTTTTTCAGTTACCAGTTTAGCTTAGGATATTTCATTATTTAGAAGCTTCTAAGTTAGGTTATCAAAGTTACAACTAAAATAACAAAATAAAAAAACCTAACCACACAAAACCCAAATCCATCAGATGTTTATTTTGAATACTTCACTCCATGGTTGCAAAGATCAAATGAGATAATATATACAAAAATGCTGTGAAGTGCAATTCTATGATGTTAATGAAGGACAGCTAAATAATAATTATGTACCATATATAATATTTATATAATTCATATAACACAAACACATACACAACAGGGTATATACTGCCAAGGCAGGACATCGTCCAAAGGGTAACTGATACCCTTTTCATCAACATTACTAGAGATGCTAACAACAATTCTAAAAAACATCTTTTTAAAAGAAAAAACTCAGCTGGGCACAGTGGCTCACGCCTGTAATCCCAACACTTTTTGGGAGGTCAAGGTGGGTGGATCACCTGAGGTCAGGAGTTTGAGACCAGCCTGGCCAACATGGTGAAACCTTGTCTCTACTAAAATACAAAAATTAGCCGGCTGTGGTGGTGCACCACCAGCTACTTCGGAGGCTGAGGCACGAGAATCACTTGAACCCAGGAGGCGGAGGCTGCAGTGAGCTGAGATCACGCTACTGTACTCCAGCCTAGGCAACAGAGCAAGACTCTGTCTCAAAAAGAAAAAGAAAAAACTCAAGCTTTTCTAGTCTAAAGAGTATGGTGATAATCAATCACTCTATAACCATCAAGAGTAGAGGGCACAAATTCTCCATAGTTGCTACTGATTCTACAGAAAACATTAACAATAAATAAGCCCGGATAATTATGAGATTTTAGACTTTAAAAAATTGTGTTTACACATATAAGCTCATTACAATAATTTAGTTATAGGCACTATTGTCTCTAAATGCAAGAAAATTGAGGTTCACAAAGGTTAAGTGATTTTACCAAGATTACTCAATTAGTAAGTGGAAGAGCTAGGCCTGGAGCCCAAGAGCTTTAACTACAAATTGTCTTCTTTACCTAAATTTCTGAGACAGGTTCCAAAGCATTTATATTAATGCTCTGACCTCTCCATGCACATATATTCTTCTCTATAATCATTGTTTTATCACCTGGCAAACAGGAAAAAGTAAAGACAGTGGTTCCATCTTTCCTAAAAGGTTTGGATGCAGGCAGAAGCCTGAACTGGGACCTGTCTACCCAGGAAACTGGTGCTAACATTGGGTGACAATGTTCCATGGAGTAGAATCTATAGCCCAAGGTTCCTGAACATTCAGGTCTAAAAATGACTTTTTTTCCCTCACCAAAGCAGGCAGAAATATATAAAGAATGAGAGATAAAATGTGGAATGCTAAGAAAACATTTTTAAAAATACTCTTGAAGAGGAATCTATTATATAACATTGTTTGAAAAATCACTGTAGTCTTCCACTTCCATTGAAAATATTTTCTTCTTGCTCATCGTTCTAAAAGTCCTCATGTGGTTGAATGTCTAAAAGATCCTATTATACGCACACGTCTGGTATGTTACTGTTACATAACTCTGAAAGCTCAATGTGGTATCTATATATGGTAGGTGGCTAGCAACCAAGGTATAATTCTGTAAGCCATAATAAATATAGTAACAAGACAAAGTAGAAATGCAAACAGATAAAACACTAAAAATTAGCTATCAATTTAGCAACTAAAAATATCTATTTCTGCATTTTAATTAGATGTTCAATATAATTATTTTTTCCTTCTGTATTGCAGTGTCTTATTAGAGGAAAAATTATGCAAACATTTTCTGGTAAGTATGTACTAACTTCACTTATCTGGAAGTCATTTATCTGATATTAATTACTCAGAATATATAGTTAAGAACTAAGAAATGACACACATGCCTCTGAGCTTTTCACATTATATATACTAAAACTCATGCATTTTTACATCCAAGAGTATCTCTTGGGTCTTCAAATTTAATTTTAATGTTTGATTCTGGTTGTAAAATAATTCTAATAGGCTGAATAATTAATATTTGGTTTCCTAACTACAATATTAGGTCAGGAAGAGCAAATTATAAGAGGAAATGGTTTTCTAATATCAGGCATATACTCACAGCAATAAGAAATGACAATCGACAATAAGACAAGGGCAAAAAGTTATTTCGGTTCTAGGCTGCTGAAGAACTCACTTATATGTGCGCTAAAAAAGTCACTGCTAAGAAAAAATGAATTATGACCACTCCCAGTTTACTGATGGAAAAGCAGGGCCACAGACATCATCTAGTTCAATTACAGAGTTAATTATCCCATAAGCAAGAGATACATGATGTGGATTTTTACATTATCTAAATAAGAGAATACCTGATGACCTCCAAACCTATTGTGGCTAGATGAGTACAGTAGGGAGCGAGGTTAAAGGTCACTTAAAGCAGAGAATATGCGTAGACTTTAAAAAAATATGGTCAAGATTTAATGTGGACACATTTCCACAGAAATTATAGAAAGTGAGTTCAGAGTATGATGGTTTTATCACATAAATTTATAGTATTCCTTAAATTCTGTGACATTTAATCCATCCAAAACCTAAACATGAGGCTGGGTGTGGTAGCTCATGCCTGTAATCCCAACACTTTGGGAGGTTGAAGCAGGCAGATCACTAGAGGTCAGCAGCTCAAGACCAGCCTGGCTAACATGGTGAAACCCCATCTCTACTAAAAGTACAGAAATTAGCTGGGCATGGTGGCACATGCATGCAAGTCCTAGCTACTCAGGAGGCTGAGGCACAAGAATGACCTGAATGTGGGAGGCGGAGGCTGCAGTGAGCTGAGATCGTGCCACTGCACTCCAACCTGGGCAACAGAGGGAGACTTCATCTCAAAACACAAAAACAAAACAAAACACAAAAACCCAGAAAGGCTGGGCACGGTGGCTCAAGCCTGTAATCCCAGCACTTAGGGAGGCCAAGGCAGGTGGATCATGAGATGAGGAGTTCAAGAGCAGCCTGACCAATATGGTGAAACTCCATCTATACTAAAACTACAAAAATTAGCTGGGCATGTAAAAATACAAAAATTAACCAGGTGTAGTGGTGTGCACCTGCAGTCCTAGCTACTTGGGAGGCTGAGGCAGGAGAATTGCTTGAACCCGGGAGGCAGAGGTTGCAGTGAACCAAGATTGCACCACTGTACTCCAGCCTGGACAACAGAGAGAGACTCCATCTCAAAAAGAAAACAAAACAAAAAACAGAAAAAGAAAAAAAAAACCCTAAACATGAAAATATAACTTGTGCATTTCAGCCTTTATTATATAAAATTATGAGTATACAAAGCTGTTCCAAAATCTGCTAAAAGCGAAAAATAAGTATTGTCAAAAGAGTAGAATTTCATTATTGTATACAGACTGTATTGCTGCTAGAACTGGAGAAGCATGTTAAGATTCATCAATCTCTGTTTGTCCCGCCAGTATTTACATTTCCTACACCTAACCATGGTGCTGCCAGTCCCAAGCAATAGAAATTTACTAACCTAGTAATCATAGCTGTACTGTTATTAGTGAAATCACACAACAACCTAAATGTTTACCCTAAGAACTAAAACATTTTTGTCACGAAAAAAACCATAGCCATACACTCAGATATTCACTTAAACAGAGCTTTTATCTACTGTACTTTGCATCCTGTTCTTATCCTTGCAGCTGGGGGGCCCCATTCCTCAAAAGTTCCTTTGATATCCTGAGCCTGAAGCAAATACATATACAAAAATAATTTCCCATAGTTTGAAAGTTTAGTATCCATATTCCATGCTATAAAATTAATCTATCAGAAGACAAAATAAAAGAGGGAAGAAAACAAATAAAAGCAATAGTTTGTAAGTAAAAAAATAATTTCATAAGGACCTATCAGTGGAGGAATGAACCACTTCCTACAGCAAAGCAGGTAGCAAATAATATATTATCACTCCAGTACTAAATTACATTGTGGTAAAATAGCCCCTGAACATCATTTCCACATCACAGGAGTAATTATTAACAGGTAGTACCAAATCCGTGGTGGAATTAAAAAGGTAAAGAAGGGGTAAAATGACTTGAAATTTTATTACGACTTTTGTTGGAGAATGAGGCAAGGTTAGAACTTGATTGAATGAGGGCTAGGCGCGATGGCTTATGCCTGTAATTCCCAGCACTTTGGCAGGCACGAGGTGGCCGGATCGCAAGGTCCAGGAGAATTGGAATCCCCGTCTCTACTAAAATTTAAAAAATGTAGCCAGGCGTGGTGGTGGGCGCCTGTAGTCCCAGCTACTCAGCAGGTCTGAAGGCAGGAGAATGGCGTGAACACGGGAGGCGGAGCTTGCAGTGAGCCAGATAGCACCACTGCAACTCCAAGCCTGGGCCCACAGAGTGAGTACCTGCGTCCAAAAAAAAAAAAAAAAAAAAAAAAAAAAAAAAATTGATTGCTGAAAAAAGAGCAGGCCAACCAACTACTTACTCAGCACTGAAAGGTTGCTTAATCATGAGCTTGTGAAGTTGCCGACCTGTAAACAGAAAACAGGGACAAGGTCATAGAATACTTGAAAATACAACAAAAAACATGTTGCATAGACATTTTGCTTGTTTACTGTGGGATTACTAAAAACAAACAATAAACCAAAAAACATCAAGTTCCAAGCATGTAAGTTATAAGGTGGTGTGTGTATATATTATAAAAAAACCATGCAATATACTATATATATATACTAATATATATATATATATATATATAAAAAAATCTGTGTTAATTTCTTTCCCCTCATTTCTAAACTTCAAAATGTTTAGGAATTGGACAACAAGAAGGAGTCAGTTTTAGGATTAGTAACCCATCACAAAACAATGATTAACCGTACAGTCAATGTGTATCAGTCTATTGAGTATAATTTTGTTTAATTCTTTTTTTTTGAAGACAGGGTCTGACTCTGGTCCCCCCAGGCCTGGAGTGCAGTGGTGGCAATCTCAGCTCACTGCCAACCCTCGCTTCCCGGGTTCAGATATTCTCCTGCTCAGCTTCCCCAAGTACTTGGGATGGACAGGTGTGTGCACCACCGACGCAAGACTAAATGTTTTGTAATTTTAGTAGGAACAGGGTTTCCAGAAACATGTTTGCCAAGGCTGGTCCTGCAAACTCTTGACCCCTCAAATAGTTGTTGCGCTGCCTCGCCCAGTATCCCACCAAGTGCTGGGATTGACCAGGCATGAGCTACCTGTGCCGCAGCCCAATTTTGCTTAATGTCTTGTGTGGCAGATGCTATTTGGTTGTTGCGCCATTTTATAAATAAGGGAAAACCCAGGCCGGATGTGTGCCTCATACCTGTGAATTCCCAGCAACTTTGGGAGGCCCAAAGGTGGGCAGATCACAAGGTCAACGAGATCCAAGACCATCCTGGGCTAACCATGGTGAAAACCCTGTCTTCTACGCCTAAAATAACAAAAAAAATAACCGGCCAATGGTGGCGGGTGCTGTACCCAGCTACTTGGGCGAGCCCTGAGGCAGGGCAGAGATGTCGTGAACGCTGGAACCCCGGAGCGGAGCCTGCTGTGAGCCAAGATTTGCGCACTGCACTACAGACCCGTGCGCGATCAGAGCGAGACTCCTATGTCGAAGAAAAAAAAATGGGAAAACCAAAAAATGGTAATTTCCAAATTATAATATCTAAAAAAGTAAGTGGGGCCGAGATACAAATCCCAGGGCTAGTCCATATCTAATACCACAAGTAACCATACCATAAGAGAAAATGGTATATACTAATCCTATGCAGATTAATTGGACATTGCAAAAGTAGCTATGAATAAAACATGCTACTTCAGTTTTTGAGGTAGGTATTAAGGATAACTGTAAAATGACACCAATGGGAAATGAACCTAACAATTGACAACCTTATAACAATGTGAATTCAGATCTGCCCCTGAGGAAAATGAAGTTTTTACTTCTTTGGATGAAAAACAAGTATCCAATTACATTTTTTATTTTCAACCTTTTCTGAGATACAAACATAATGCTAGCTTGTTTTTTAAAAAAATGCTCATTCTAGAAAGTGTGTAATTTAAAAAATTCATGAACAATACTTTCTGTTTAAGTAAGGCAAAAACATTGCATTGTAATGAAATACATGGTAAGTAATACAGATTATATTCTCTCCAAGCTTTGTTTTCAGTCTATACAAATATATTTTAAAAAGTGGAATACATACCTTTTAATAACTTTCTTTCATCAAATTCCTAAGCAATACCTTTTTAAAAAAATGCCCCTCTGATATACAGATGGTATCTTTAAAAATTAATAGGTATCACAGTTTTTAACTGATGGTTTATTCTTTCCCTCATTGATACATAACAATAGTAATCTTAAAGTCAATGAAAATACATCTTGATCAACCCTTTTCATTAGTATATAACTCATTATATAACTCCATTTCCATTTTCTAAATATGTTTTTTTTTGAGATGGAGTCTCACTCTGTCACCTGCAGGCTGGAGTGCAGTGGCGATCCCAGCTCACTGTCAGCCGTCCGCCTCTTGGGTTCAAGCGATTCTTCTACCTCAAGCCTCCCAAGTAGCTGGATTAACAGCACCTACCAAAAATTCCACACTTCGTAATAATTCTTGTATTTTTAGCAGAGACGGGTTCACCATGTTTGGCCAGGCTGGTCCAGAACTCCTGGCCTTTCAAAGTATCCACCTGCCTCCAAGTCCACCAAGTTGCGGGATACAGGTGTGAGCCAACCCGCTCCCCAGCCCTAAAAGTATCTCACCGCAGTGGGTATAACATCATTTATTACCAGGCAGATACATTTAAGAAGTTGTCCAAAGATCAAAGATTTGGAGTAAAATAAGGCCAAACATAAAAAATCAAAGAAGTAATTTCCACAACTGATTTTTCCAGCAGCTAATTCCATTTTGTCTCATTTTATAGTCACAAATCCAGAACTACTAAAAAATAAAATGAAAAAAATATTAAAAATTGAAATTCTATAAACCCACAATGATTTATAAACATATTTCCCAAAGGCTTTTTCATTTTTTTCTTTTTTTTTGAGAAAGGAGTTCTCACTCGTCGCCCCAGACTGGAATGCAGTGACCGATCTCGACTCACTGCAAGCTCGCGCCTCGCTCTCCGGGTTCAGGCCCATTCTCCTGCCTCAGCCTCCCCGAGTTTAGCCCTAGGACTACAGGTGTCTGCCACCATGCCCTAGCAATTTTTTGTGTTTTCAGTAGAGATGGGTTTCAACAATGTGGCCCAGGATGGTCTCGGTCCCTTGACCCTCATGACCCCTGCCTCAGCCTCCCAAAAAGTGCGGGATTAGCAGGCGTGAGCCCACATGCCTGGCCTTCAAAGGCTTTTTCTTTAGAAAAGAAAGTAATGTGGAGGAATAAAAAGTGTATTTGAAGGTTTTTTTCCAACCAAAGATCTTTTTGGGTTAATAACTCAGATTTTGGGAGACTCGATTTAATTAAATGTCAAAAGTAAAAAAAACGTAGTACCAAATAATAAAGGTGGCTGGGTGCATGGTTCAACTGTGCGCTGCAAATCCCCCAGCATTTGGGAGTCTGATGTGGGAGGAAATTGCTTGTGCCAAAAAGTTTGAAAGACCAGCTGGCCACAGTTTGAGACTCCGTCTCTATAAAAAAATTTTAAAATTAGGTTGGGCATGGTGGCAGCATGCCTATACTCTGAGCTACTCCAGGAAGCTGAAGCTAGGAGGATCCTTGACCCAGGAGTTCGAGCTGGCCAAGTGAACCAATCGACCAAACCCACTTACACTTGCCTGGGCAACAGAGCGAGATACCTTGCCAAAAAAAAAAAAAAGAAAGAAATAATAAAAGTTAAAAAAAATGTCGACCAATGATCTCTTAAGCAAATCAATTATTAGCATTTGGTATAATTACTTTCCAATCTTTTTTTGTTAATTTTTCTCAATATTTGATCACAAAAATTTTCAGTTGTAAACACTGAAATGAAATATTTATATACCCATCACCAGGAGCTTGCCATTAAACGTTTTTATTACATGTGCTTCTATCACTTATTCATTCATCCTTCCAAAACTTTACAACAGAGTTGAAATGTACAATTAAAAATTTTTGTTCTATATATAGAATAAAGTGCAATATAAAAAGGTCAACTACTACAATTACTGTTAAAA